TTACAAAAATAACTGCAGACAGAACAAGCAATACTCCCAGTATATCTCTTAGATTGATCCAGCATTAAAGTGCAGGGCAGCGACTCAAATGTGAGGCATCCATTTCCTCATGAAAGCTGAATAATTTACAAATCAGGGTTGGGATAATGCTCATTAGATTCAAGTGTTCTAAAAGGCAATCATGGCCAGTAACAAGATAAAAGATAGTAACAGATTTCTTTCTGGGCCATAAAGGAGTGCCAAAAATTCTGTTAATACATATTTCATGGTTGTTACTTTCAGTAATATCTTTCCAAAAAGCTTCTCTATAGCAATTTTTTATTACTCTTTTGGCGATGTAAAATAGAATGTGGTTGTCAGTTATTTGGAGAATACTAACCCCTTTCTTTGCCTAAAAAAAATCTGCCTTATCCTTTCCCTGAAGGCCACAGTGTGATGATATCCTTTGAAAGCACTGGGGAAAACTGTGTAGCACCAGGGTGCCTGGGTCAAGGACCCTACCCCTTGTAGTACAGATATGTTATTTCAAATACTGTCATGAGTAACTAGTGTATATTTAGAATGTTTTCTATATATATATATAATTAAATCATGTTTTTAAATTTTTTTTAAATTATAAGAATAGAAATAAGAGATAAATTAAAAGATAAATTTCTAAAAAGACTAAAGTGTGCATCAAGTTTTAATAGACCTAAAGTGCTATCTGGGAAGGCTGAGAAAGGAGGAATGAGCTGGCTATAGCCTGATGCAGAAAAAACATTCGTATAAATAATAGACAAAGTAGTGTGAGTTTCTTGGTGCACTAGTAATAATTAAACCTTAAATCTATAACATAATATTAAAAGGTACATATTAGATTAAATAAGTTATACAATATGGGTACTAAGTATGGCCATAGGCCGTTTACTATTATTTGGGTCGTTAAAATCGTAAATCCTCATAGCAGGGTTGTTACTAACAAGATTGGCATAAAAGTTCCGGGCGAGCCAGCAGTAAAAACACTCGACTTGTTCTATACCCAATTCTTATGCAACTTTTGATTTGGAACGTACCAGGGAGAGTTGGTAATATGTCTTAAAACACAATTTTGATATCCAATTTTGATTATATATTTTGATGGCAACTTCTTTGCCCTCCTGAGATAAGTATTTTAAAACATTAATGGATAGAAGAGCAGCTTTAGAATCAGGATATGGCAGTCTTTGAAAAAGGTTCAAGTTGATCTTTCAGTTAGGATAAGGCTTTGCAAATGGCCGTGAATGTTCCAACAAGATAATAAAATGAAAAAAGCTTGCAAAAGATGCAGGTACCTGAATTGATACTGTCGACCAACACAGAGCCATTCATTTTCGGAACATAAAGTATTAATGGTTTCCAAAGACAGATTTTAAAATTTGGTCATTTGTTTCTTTTTTGAGAATTTTGTGTAATAAATTAATTCTGACTATATATTTTCTTATTCGTTTCACATCGTGATTTCACAAAATTTTCAGCTTCCTGTCTACGGCCTAGCTGATCTCTGATGGAAAAGACTGCCTGGTGAAAACCATTCATTTTCTCTGCATCGATAAAATGCAATAGTTCCACAGGGAAAACCTGTCTAAGTCTGTAAATATTGTCCAGATTGATTTTCATTATCATTTTTCACATAATAAAATGCATATAAAATTATTCATTTGGCTAGCTTCTGTTTATTTTATCTCTGATTCTACAATATTATAGAAATCTTGTAGCTTAAAAGTAGTTGAATGTTAAAACAGGTCGAAATGTACATGAAGAGCAGTGAGCTTTTGCTCTGCAATTCTCTGATATTTTAAGTTAAAACAGATCACTGTAGACATGAACTGAAGGTCAAAAATTGAAAGCATTTTATTATGGTTGTTACAAGATTTCGACCATTTCATTATATATATTATGTTTTTAATTTTGGTAATTCATTGCTGTTTTATTCGATTCCATCATTTTTTTTTAATTTCAAAGGGGCTGTGTCCCTGAAGGACTATTATTTTTGTTTTGCGATTTTGCATCGAATCACTTTGGATGTCCGTTTCACTTTTCAGACTGTTGCCACCAAATATTATCACCCTGTATTATATTTGAAGAATCTCCGTAAATTTGTTTCTCGCACTGTGATAAAACAATACTTAGAGCCATCAAATTTTGAATAACGTAATCTTCCACCGAATATGGGCATCTGGAAGCCCTAATTTGAAATTTGTTTTATTATAGATTTGATATTTTGTAAAACTTGAATTTTTTATTAACAAACTCGACGATTTCAAAGTGAGCAATGACAACGTTGTACAGAAAAAGCACTTTTATCTCCAGCACATGAGACTGTGTATTGGAAATTCTAAAGATTGCTCAATTTAAAATTATTTTGCAGTATTGCTCTTGCACTGAATTTTATGGTTTAAGTGCGAAGAACATGATATTTAATAAAGGTAAAACAAAATATGTTAAAGCCCCTTTGGATGTAATTTAAAACCTTTCAGATTTTCTTTTGTTTTTTAAATGGCTGTTTTCTTGCATGTTAAGTTGGCAAAAAATTAATTGCATATGTGTGGAATTAATTGCCTTGTGTTTGGGCTAGTATTGGGTTTCAGTTTTTAACCCCTTGGGTACGGATTTATTTGAGAAAATATTTGCATGTGTAACGGATATAATTTTTGGTTGCTTGGAGTAAAATGCAAAAGCAGTATATTTTATGTAAGAATTTATTTACGAGGGTTGGAACTTTGATAGTGGCAACACAGCTGAAAAAACGCTACGCAACAAAACCAAAGAATATCGCGTATACCACACGTAAACTACATACCTACCTTACCTCTCAGCAAAAACCGTAGTAAGATGGGTGAAAGCATTCAATGAAGGACTCCAAAACGTGGCAGACATGCTGCGGCCAGGTCGTCCGAGAGTCGGCGATGCAGACGTGCTAGCTGTTGCCGCACTAATGGACAGTGATCGCCGCCAAATGAGTCGCCAGCTGGCCGGACAGACAGAATCAGCGCGTACGACTGTGCTTCACATTCTGAAGGAACGCCTGTCCATGAGAAAAATTGCTTCACGATGGGTTCCAGATCAATTGACGGAAATGCAGAAATGGCTATGATACGATGCTGCCCGAACCCACCTGGAGCGCTATGAGCGCGAAGGAGATGCTTTTTTATGCCATATCATTACACTGGAAGAAACTTGGGCCCGATCGTATCAGCCAGAACTGAAACGCCAATCAAACGAATGGCGTCATCTCAGGTCACCACGACGTTCGAAATTTCGTCAGAACCCCAGCAATGTGAAAGTTGTGATTCTCGTGTACGACTGTGATGGTGTCGTCCTAATGCATACCATTCCCCCACAGCAGACAGTCACTGCGCAGTATTACTACTCATTTTTGGAGCACAATCTCCGACCAGCTTTGAGAAAACAACGGCGACATTTTCTGCAGAGCGCTCCTCTCATTTTGCATGACAATGCTCGGCCGCATGCAGCGCAAGCTGTGACTGATTTGTTCAAGCGATGGGGCTGGGAAGTGCTTTACCATCCACCATACTCCCCGGATCTAAGCCCTTGTGACTATGCACTTCGTGGCACTCGCTTCCAAACTGTTCCTGAGATTCTTGCGGCAGTAGACCGATCCATTCAAACTATCAACAAAACAGGCGCTGCTACAGGTATTCTGCAACTTCCACATCGTTGGAAACGGGTTGTACACAATGCTGGTGACTACATTGAAGGACTGTAAAACATGGTGACATGAATCACTTTTGTATTCCTTGTAAATAAATAGTTGCCACTATTAAAGTTCTAACCCTCGTATTTCTAAAATATTGGTGACATAAAAAAAAACACCCCAAATTACTAATAATTATGCAGAGTGTGATATTTTTCAAAGCGAGTAAATAAATGCAGTGCTACTTTGCATTGTTTGCACTGCCACATAGTCTCTTTCCTAATATGATGCTTATAACAAACGCGGCACCTTTTTTCAGGGTGTTTGTTGGACTTGGTTGATGGAATGCTCTCAGGAAAGTGTGCCCAATTTTTCGCTGCCAAACGAAATGGTGTATCACTACTTGACTGGCGTCCACGACGTTTATAATTTGGCATATATATAATTTAATGACAATTGCTTCCAGCAATTTCTTCGGCAATAGCTAACGAAAGGATATAAAACATAAGCATTATAAAAGGCCATATCTGATGCCAGTTTTATAATATTTTTGCTATCGCCACCTTCATTTTTTCTCCTTTTGCCTGTGTTTATTAAATCAGCATTTGAATGTTTCGTTCTAAGTATGTGAATCATCCGCTCTTAGGGAAAACAAGTGAATGACGTCTCTCGGACGTCAAATGTATCCAAGAGTTTAATTTTTGGTTTGATGTCTTAGACACGTCATCCGCTCCTAGTGGAGAAAAAATGAATGACGTGTCTCGGACGTCAAATGTACCCAAGGGGTTAAGTAAATTGAGAATGTTAAAGTGCATTTCTTTCAAGTGATTTTTTAAACAAATTTGAACCTAAATTGATTTTACACATAATTCCGTAATTTCACTGCTGTATGATGCATGGGTTTGTGTACATAGGTAATGGAAAGAGCCTCCTCCTTGCCCAAAAAATGAGAACTTCGAAAAGTGAAATAATTAACCTCTTAAATTATTTTGAGTTTAAATATGAGTTGTCAGTTTTAGAATCTTAACCTTTTTGCGTATGAGACATAATTTAGTTTAACCAATTTTGTAATTATATGTAATATTTTCTCTTGTTTACAAGAAAAGTGCACGATATTCCCCCTATGTAGAAGAAACATTTATTGTTGCACTACTTTTTAATAGTTGCATAATTGTATCTTCATTATAATCAATGAAATTAAATTATAATAAGCAACAGTATAAAAATGGCATTTTTTATATTAAAATGTATAGTTGTATAGTGTATGCTTTTGAAAATTTGAAATATTTTTTTCTATTTTTATCTTTAAATGTTATCTTTTTCTTAGGTTGTCTCAAGTGATTTTATTGGAGACACCCACAGCAGTATTTTTGATGCAAAAGCTGGCATTTCTTTGAATAACAACTTTGTGAAGCTTGTGTCATGGTAAGCTTTAAATATTTTGTGTAATTTGTTCCTTCTACATTGAAGGAATTGTAATACAGTATCCAAAAAAGTGATGTCTATCATTCAAAATTGATCGATTTTCTTTTTAGGTATGATAATGAATATGGATACAGTTGCAGAGTTGTTGACCTCATCAACTACATAAAATCCAAAGAAGCTTAAATGTTTCTCTTCAAAGTCCAGCTGTATTTCATTGTCTTGTTTCACTAGAACTCTCAAAATTATGTTAAATTTCCAATTTATTTTCATAAATTGTTTTGTTCTGCATTAAATGCAGCTTTGTTAATGTGTAACCTTTTTGTTTAGCTGGAAATTCTATATTTCATGTTAAGCCCTAAATTAAACCTCATTGTTCCAAAATTGAGTTTTCCTTCTTTAAATTAGAATATGTATTACAGTACTCTCACAGTGAATTATCTTTTTTGTAAAAGTGACAATTAAAATATGCAGTTCTGCAGAAATTTTATTATTGTTAAAGAATGATTTATTTGTTAAGCTGGGAAAAAGTCCATAAGAGATACATGCATAACACAGGGTTCGTAGCGGTCCTTATATTTGAAAATAAAATATAAAGGCCCTTATAGGTGCTTACTTTTTCTTTAAAGCCCTATTTTTTGTTTTAAAGCCCTTATTTTTTTACAAAGCCGAAACTAAATAAACAACTTTTCTTCCTAATATGGAATGTCAGATGGTGAGTCATACTCTGCATTAACATAACCTTTGGTGTGCACGAAGAGTACAGACTGGTGCCCGTCGTTCTATTGGTCAAAGAATTGCGAAAGCAGTAGAAAATTCCGCTACATTCGGCATTCTTTTCCTCTCGCCCAAATATTACACACGTTTGAATTTCTATCAAGATCTTAAAAATTTGCATTCTCGTTCTGCCTGGTCAGATCATATTCGTGTTTATTATGATCGTTATGCTTGTATTATGAGCATATGTATGAATGTTTATAATAACATAGTTGCAGTAACTGCTGAAGTATAATAAACTTCCAAAAATGGTTGTGTTTTAACACAGATTAGCTTTCTAAGAAATAATATTCGGAATGGCTTAAATAAAGGGAAAGTAATCGAATAGTCAAAATAATTTCATTTTTTTGGCCAATATATTATACAGTATGAAGGTTGGGAGGTCTCCCCTTTCTCTGCAAATTCTTGAATATTGAAACTGTTGCAGTTCGCTGCAAAACAAGCAACGGACTTTTTTTTTTGGTTACTTTCCAATCTGGATTGAATAGGACTAAAAGTTCTACGGTCTACCAACCCAAGCGAAGAATGATTCTATTCCGGAAATTTAACGCAGTCTATTGAAAATTAGAATGAAAACCACCCCAGTTATTTAGTTCTTTATTCTCCCAATACCGGCAGTTGTTGATTCCGATTGCGTAATATCACGTAGGGAAGAATTATGGCACACGTATTGTGCAATAACGTTTGCGATATTTTGCAGAGATAATTAATTTTGATGTTCAGTTCGTGATTTGTTTATGAACACTTAACTAACTGAAAAGTTTTACTATGCTTGCTAAGCAGGATATTTTTTAGTTCTGTTGGTTTATTTTTATGTGATGCACATAATGAAATGTCAAAAGCATTTATTAGCCAAAAAATCTAAAGCGCGGCTACTGTCCGCTCCTTCAAGTTACTGTCTCCCCCCCCCCTCCGCTTCTTCAAGTTACGCTCGACTGTCCGAATATTCGCCAATTCCAAGTATGCGTGTTAGTTAAGCTTTTACTGTTAAAGATGGCTGCAAAAAGCAAATTTCTGTCTTGTGATTTCAGAAATGTTCCTCTTTTTTACTTAAATTATTTTGCTTGCAATTTCTGTTAAGAGAAAACTGATATACAATGAAAACTTAGAAAATGTTCAGAATTTAGATTTAAATATCAATATGAGTGGAAAAATAAATTGTATTTATTATTAGGTTCCAAGCGAATTCAATAAATATGCCTTATTTATTTTCTCTACTTTGAACTGAAATTTCATCATTAAATCTTGTAATATAGTTTAGTTCTTCATAGTTTTTCTCTCATTCTAAACTAGTTCTGTAAATTGAACTATTATTTAAAATTTAAAAAAAAAGTAATTATTTTTCATGGTTGAGGTAATGCTTATTCTCTCTTAATAAGTATACTTCATTTCTCATATTTTAAATTACAAGTCTAATTTTTAAGGTTATGCAGTTGTGTATGATGTAATTAGACAGGTTCTTCTTTTTTTTTTTTTTTTTTTTTTCTTAAAATGTGCTTGAAAAGTGCTTATAGGTACTTATTTTTTTAACTAAAATGTGGCTATGAACCCTGATAACATGATCTCATAGGTCTTTAATAAATGAAAAATCAACTTTGAGAAATCTTTGCATTAACTGCAAATTAATGGTGGTGGTTTTACAAGATATAGCAGCAAGAGTATATGAAATTGTTACATACTTAGTAAACATAGAAGCCACTGATGCAGAAACTGTGAAAGAATGCCCCTAGTGCATTTAATAAATTTAGTAAAAAGATTTTAAAAAATTTCGGGCATTAAAAATGAACAATTCTTAAATTTTACTTGTTAGTTGCTTTGAAAATGTTACAGAGCATGTCTGATCAAAACATGGCTGGTTTAAGAAGTTTTACATACTTAATTCTGGCTTTTGATTCTAGCATCAGCATTTTAAAAGAATTTCAGTATTCCTTTTTCATTAGATACTGTAGGATATTTTTATAGAATTTAATTCATAATTTTTGGGCAAAGACTATCTCAATAATATACTGCTGCTCATTAAAATTGCTGCATGGTGGAGAAAGCAAATAGCAGAATTTAATTTATTGTGCATAACTTGTATAATAAGAGGAAGATATTAAATTTTGCAGGTGATTTGGAGATACACAGTATGCAGAATTCTGTACACAGAGCTGCCAACTTGTGGCAGAAACAATAGCTATAATCTGGCTGGGCATTTAAGTCTAATGGAGCTTGGATGAGAGAGATGGAAATTCCATTCCGTGATTCCATGCAACTTCAACTGTATGCCAGAATTCATCAGTTATAGCGTCATGGTCTCTCGCTAACACATCATCAGATGTTCTAAATGTATGATAGATCTGAAGAATGTGCTGACCAGCACAAATTTGAATAAGGAAGGTCAGCATAGCTTGGGCAACATGCAATCGTGCAGTATCTTGTTCAAAGATAGCATCAAGTAGGCCTCTAAGATATGTAATAATCATGGGCTTTAACACATCAGAAATGTAACAGCATTACTTGGTTATGTGAACAAGAGATTATCAGTCTATGTATCCACAGTAGCATGTTAGGTGCTGGGCCCGAATGACTGTGGCAAATGCTTTGAGCTGGCAATGCTTGTTATCCCCGATTGCTCCCCCCCCCTCCGCCTCCACACACGAATACCTCCATGATGCGGCCGAGCAGTAAAGTCGCTGAACACTGGTAGGTCGGTCCGAGGTTCGAATCCCGCGAACAGGCTGGCTGCATGGGCGTTTTAATGGTTTTCCCCATGTTTAACGTGTATACGAGCCAGTTTCCATTAGAAAGTCCTCCACGAAGGCATCCCTCCTTTTCAGCAGATAGCCCTAGTGTGCTTTGCCATGACTAATAAACCAAACCAAACCATCCATGATGCTATCATGTATGCAGAACCGGGGTTCATCTGAGAAGACGTCATGCCACTCCTGTATCCAGTGCTGTTGTTTATCATGTCATTATAGGTCCACCTTTCTCTGCGGCAGTATTATGGGAAGCTGTAACAATTGTTACTGACAGTCTGTGGTACTACAGATGTCTCACTGTTCTGTGCTGATATTTATCATCTTGAACTCAAGCCAAATTGAAACTTGGGGTGGGTGATGTAACTGTACAATCTCGCAAGACAGAGTACAATGTCTGTCCTCTTGGTCACCATGCCTAGGGCTGATCCCAAATAATACGAGCAGATATATCGTGGAACAATACTGCTGTGGTTGCATTTAAGCACATGCTGATGAGTTTCTTACACAAGCCATAACACAACCTTTACACAAACAATCAACGTTTAAATGTGATTTCCAGATGAAAAACCCACCGTGCAATCCTCCCAATCAATATTATGTTTAGTGGGTCACATTTCTTTATAAACACTATTCTTTTTTAAATTTATTTTCAAATATTAATGAAATTAATTTTTCTTTCGCATGTACTATTTGATCATTTTTTTAATGTGCTGTTTTGAAGAAAGTTGCTCAAAATATATTTGTTCCCCCCTAAAAAAAAATATTTAAAACATTCTGTATATAAACATTCATAAGTATCATTGTTCAAAAAATGTTTGGCCAAAAAATAATTTATTCAAAACATTCTGCAAATAAACTCTCATAAGTATGACACACTTTAAACAGCCTATATTTAATAAAAATTCAAAAATAATGGAACATTTCAATATCTCGTTGGATTACTTGACCTAAAACTGCGCTTTTCATGTACTTTGTCATGGATTGAACGAATTTTATTTATTCTCTCTCTCTCTATGTGTGTGTGTGTGTGTGTGTGTGTGTGTGTGGAAATTTCATTTCTTTATAAGAATGCTTACAGTAAAGCTTTGAGAGAAATGTAATGCTCCTTGTTTTTCTAACTCCTTCCATACATGTTTGGTAGGATTAAAGTCTGGAGAACATTAAAGAGTTTTGATAGCTTCAGACTAGTTGTATAGTAACAAGTGAACGTTTAGGGCTACATGTTTAGGATCCTTATCCTGATGGAACTTGAATGCATTTTGAAGATGGCAAAAGGAAACACAAAAGTAAATATTTGTAATTTTAAAGCCAAAACATAAGCTAAACAAAATATTTGAACTCTTCTAAAAACATAATAAATAATCTCAAGTTATTAACAGCCTTATTAAAAGAACTTGGAGAATATTTTAAGAAATTTTTGTTTGTAAAAAAAATTTACGAAATGTAGAAACAGTAATTAACACAACTAGCTACGCTGAGATAAAATAATGCAATAACATTTGACCACTTCATTAAACTAAACCCCCCCAAAGTCCTGCTATGCTGCCTCAACGTGGTGGGGGTGTCACTGGGCGGAACGGGCGAAGTACGTCGGGAGCATAGCTCCTGGTAAGGCCACCCTAGGCGTGAAGGCCGTTCCAACATGCCCAGCTAAAGCATAGCAGGTGAAGAACCCTCGGGGGATTGCCGTCTTGGTGATCGGGTGTCACACTCCCGGGGCCCCAGTGACCTTTCCTCCTCTTTCTCCCTCTCCTCTTGTCTAGCTCTCTCCTATTTTTCTCCCTTGTGGTTTCCTCTACTGGAGGTTGGGGCTCACTGTGAGATACAGCTACTATGGTTTCTGTTTCACCATGGTGAGAATAC